AACAACTATTGGTAAACTCCATTGGACTCGAAAAGGTAGAACCTTGGGCAGTTTGAAAACACACACTGCGAGTGTTTGAAGAGAGCAGCCTTTGGAAAGCAAAGCCCAGTTAATTCGAGAATAGATGAATTAGTTGAACACTTATACCTTGAACAGAGATAGATACAACATATCTTAAATGCACACGGTGAATCTCTTCAACTTATCACCAAAGTTTTAATATTTTTGAGTGACTTATAGCTTGTCCTAACAAATATTCCCGATACACTGGCTAGCTGAGAGTATTGTTGAAGAATTAATAAATAATTTTATTTTCTGAAAAAACACATCTAAACGCGAAATGCGCAGAGGAAAAATATGCCGGTTTTTACAATTGTAAATAAAAATTTTTAAAGTAATAGTTTTTACCGTGATACTTTTAAATATTTGGGCTGATAGAACATGTCTTCTGGACTAATCACCGTGCTCTTGAAGGGAATAATACCAAAAGGAACTGTCATGCATTCATAGCAAAAATAAAGGCGGTAATAGAGTCAAGCAGGTACAGTATGCACTTCGCATTTTTGATGCAAAAATTACTACTAATGTCACTACAATGTGAATAAGAAAACGTAGTATATCTATAAAACCAGAAGTCCACAAAATTAGCGAAGATAATTGAAAATTTTAGATCACATCACGACTGCATAGTAATATTTAGTACTACAATGCAAGTAATGGCCGGCAACTATAAAAGCAGGCTTCATAAGAGTCTGGAGAACACTTGAATGTATATAATGATCAATGACAAATATACGGTAAAAAGCTAGTATTTGGGAACATCAAATGGTTAAAGTTGTTGATAGTAATGCACAACATGCTATAAGAAATTTATTATAGAATAGCGTCTTTTCTATTCTTTTTTGCTTTTACCAGTAATATTGCTAACTTATTCTATTCTATTCACAACCACTGTGATTTTAAGTTGTCCTTTCACAGTTCTGACCAGCGTCTATCTAGATTTCTATAGATTGATCAAAGCATCATTACCTTAAACTGATTTGCAAAACAGTATTCTTTTTTACAATGACTCATGGCACTGTTTTGTTTTATCCTAAGAGCAATCAATGAAGAAACCTTTAACCTCAAACAGAAGCGTCTGTTTCTCTTCTAACTTAACTTGTGGTATGAGATTGCTTCTTCTGCTGTTTTGGTTTTACAGTATCCCAAATTCCTCCTTCTATTTGGTTTTGTGACTTCCGGTTCTTCTCATCCGACCCGGAAGGAAATGTTCTTGAAGAAACTTGACGAGGTCCTGTCTCATTTATTGGAAGAAGATATAAAGTCGCAACGAAGGCGAGAGACATACCGAAGACGACGAAGTTGGCAAGGACAATAGTGCCTGAAAATGAATTTTATTTTATGATTTTAGCTTATCATATTCTTATGTTCCAGGAGAGTCTAACAAAGCAAATTTTTATGGGATTTAGGCTTTCTCGCTGTTATCAGAATTCTGGAAACGGTTTTTAGGTGTTTTTAAGGCTATTTAATACAGTTTCTCTCCTGAAAAAAA